CCTGGCAAAAGGTTAGGGGGAGGATGTGGTGCCACCTGGTGCTGCTGAACGCCTTGAGCGGAATTACTTGGCACTGGCTCGTCGGCTCTGGCGGCCAACTCTGAATTGACACCCCTGACACGAAGCCATAGGTCAAGAGGGATGCAGAAGCTTGCCGCTGGGGCAGCAGGCGTGCCGTCATCTTCGATGCGGTGGATCTCGTCGTAGGCCTCCTGGAGCTGCTGGTCCAACGCCTCCTTACGCTCGCGGTGGGATGTCAAGGCCCTCTGCAGCTTGCTGTTCGGGTCAGCCTGCTTCTTCGGCCTGGCGACTGTGGGGAGCCCACGCGGCACCTGAATGACGCGGTTCCACCAGTTGCACTTGCCGTCGCAGATCGAGAGGACCAGACCAACGTGCGTCTTCCAAGGGGCTCCCACCACCGCGTCTAGCTTCACGGAGACCGCGAGATCGGAGCGAGCGATGCCGTAATCGATCATGGTGCCCTGGCCGAGGTTGCAGGTGGTGGCGACATTCGTCGGCAGCACGAGGGAGCCGCCGAGCTTGCTGAACCACTTCGTCTTGCCCCACTCGCTCGGCTGGTTGTTCCAGTCGCTCAGGACCGCCCAAGGATCTGCCAATAGCCCCAAGAAGGCTGCCAATCTGATCAGCATGCGCTCGTTCGGGCCTCGAAAACCGAACTTGGGCTGAAGGTAGGCTGCCACGACTATCACGTTCCCCGACTTCGTGTGCCAGGTGGACGGGCAGAAACCCTCGAATGGGTCCTTCGCCGAGCGCTCGAGCTCGGCCTTCCTCCGGCCCTCGAAGGAGGTGGTCGCGAGCGTCTTCTTGCAAAGGATGGCCTCGCCTCCTGTGGTGCCCAACTGAGAGCGGCCTGTAGGCGTAGACGGCGTGGCGATCGCTTTCCATCCATCCTTAGACATATCAACAACCATCTTCTCCAGCTTCTTCCCACGCAGGTGGGTCTCCGCAAAGCCGAGCACGTCGTGCTGCTCAGCCTGGGCCCGCATGAAACGCTCGGAGCGCGGGCCCCACTCCGATATGTTGGCAAAGAAGAAACGGCCGTCGTTAGGAAGAGGTCGATCGTCCTCCTCCTCTGGCCTGGCTGCCTGAGCCGCCGCCGCCGTTGGCATCAGCAACAGTAGGCCAACCAGCAGCGCCGCCAGCCTTTGCCTCAGCGCGCTCCTTGGCCTTGGCGATGGCCTGGGCTGCCTCGGCCTTGGCTGCCTCACGAGCCTGGGCTGCTTCGGCGGCTGGGGCTGGAGCTGGGGCAGCGGCAGGGGGAGGCTGCTCCTCCTTGGCGGCCGCCTCGGCGCCTGGGCCTTGGCGGGCAGTGCCGTCGGCCCCGCGGAGCCGCTTGGCTGGCGCAGCTCGGATCTCCTGGACAGACTTGAGCGTGGCCGCGAGCGTCTCCTGCAGAGCGGCGACCTGCTGCACGTGCGAGTCCATCTGGGCCTTGACATCGCTGAGCGTCTTCTGCTGGGTCTCGTCGTACTCGTCGAGATTGTAGGTGAAGTCGGCCTCGTTAATAGCAAGCAATATCTTCTTGCCGTCAGGCGTGTACCCCTCGGGCGGGCACTTCGGCTTGCCGACCGACAGAGAGAGAGCCTCGATCGCCTTGTGGTTGGCCGCACGGGCCTGGAGGGCCTCCTCAGTGGCCACCAAGACCTCATCGTTGGCCTTGGCCAGAGCCGCCCCGGCGGCGACCTGCGCATCGGCCGCACGACGCAGGGCGGCCTCCTTCTTCTGGAGGTTCTGGGCAGCGAAATTGGCCTCCTGCTGGGGCGTGCGCTGCTTGACGAGCCTGCCAGGGCGGGGACCGCAGCGAGAAGCTGGAGCATGGCTGCTGGGTCCGCGGGGGCAGACGGGTGGCGCCAGGGCGGGATCGGGCCAGGGGCCTTGGGCTTGGCCTGCCCTTGCCGCCCTTGCCGCCGTCGCCGCCTGCAGGCTGGAGCAAATCGATGACGCTGTTGCACTTCGCGCACTTCCCGTCGTTGGCGATGAGGCGGAAGTTGTAGGCCCAGTTGCCGCAGCCTCTGCACCACGTGAAAGGCTGCTTCCGCACCATGGCGCGACACTGGCTGGTGCGATCTGGCGCCGAGGCGAACCCTCGGACGCGAAAGGGTGAAGACTGGCTCGGGGAACAGAGCTATCCCGTTTTGGCACGAGGGCGCGGAAGCCCTCTCCTGCAATCATTTTGAGCCAAAATGGCTACGGAGAGGAGGAGGAGGAGGAGGAGGAGGAGGAGGAGGAGGAGGAGGAGCAAAGAGGAGGAGGAGGAGGAGGAGAGAGGAGGAGGGAGGCATGGAGGAGGAGGATGAGGAGGAGGAGGAGGAGGAGGAGGAGGAGGAGGAGAGAGGAGGAGGAGGAGGAGGAAAGAGGAGGAGGACGAAGAGGAGCGGTTTTTGCTTTGTTTGGCCTCTGACGCCGGGGCCTGCACGTGGGAAACCTCTCTACGCTTGCTCGCTGCGACCTTCGGGGCCGCAACGCCATGGTCGGCACCGCCTTGGCCATGACCTTTGCCGCAACATGGGAGGAGGAGGAGGAGGAGAAGGAGGAGGAGGAGGAGGAGAGGAGGAGGAGGACTGCACCCTTCGGGGCCGAAACGCCATGGTAGGCACCGCCTTGGTCGTCACCTTTGGCGCATGAGGAAGAGGAGGAGGTGGAGGAGGAGGAGGAGGAGGAGGAGGAGGAGGAGGAGGGAGGAGGAGGAGGAGGGGAGAGAGGAGGAGGAGGAGGAGGCGGGGAGGAGGAGGAGGAGGAGGAGGAGGAGGAGAGGAGGAGGAGGAGGGGAGAGAGGAGAGAGAGAGGAGAGAGGAGGAAGAGGAGGAGGAGGAAGAGGAGGAGGAGGAGGAGGAGGAGCAGGAGCAGGAGGAGGAGGAGGAGGAGGAGGAGGAAAGAGGAGGAGGAGGAGGAGGAGGAGGATGAGGAGGAGGAGGAGGAGCGTTTTTTGCTTTGTTTGGCCTCTGCCGCTCTCCTTGTCGGGCCTGGCCCTCGACGGCGGAGGGGCGCCGACCGCCGCGCTGCGCGGCGGTGCTGGCCCATCGGGTGCCCGTGCCCTGCGGACGGATCCGTGGCCGCCGCTCACGCGGCTCAGAGAGGTCCCAATGTTCTATAGGTGTTTGAAGGATGTTGGTATTTACTTCGCTTCGGCCTTCCGACTGCCCGAGACGGCCCAAGAGCCCCCAAAGATCGCCCACATATCTCCCAAGAGGCCTCCAAGATAGCCAAACAAATATCCAAAAGGCCCGCAAAAACAGCCCCAAGGGGGCCCCAAGACGGCCCAGGAGGCCTACAAGACGCCCAAAATGGCCCGTGGGGGGCCACCCTTCTTCCAGTCGCCCAGGGGAGCCCAGAGTCGAATCGATAAATCGGATCGGCGATCGAAACAAGCCCGTTCGGCAGAAATCGGAAGCCGTGTCGGGAAACATCGAATCGGCGGAAATCGGCAGGCTAGTATGCGTCCCGTAATGAATCAGGGCCCGAATTGGAATCCGAAACCGAATCGAATCGGAATCGAAATCCATCGAAGTCGAGTCGAATCGAATCGGAGGAATCGACACAAGCCCTGGGCACAGGGGTCCTCTTCTTCACGTTCATGATCTGTGATCCGTTGCGCTCGTGAGCGTCGTCGTGGTCGTCGTCGTGGTCGTCGTCGTGGTCGTCGTCGTGGTCGTCGTCGTCGTCGTCGTGGTGGCCTGCGGCCTGCGGCCGCACTGGCGAGCCGCGCGCCCTCCGCGGTGCGCGCCCTGAGCAGGAGGCGCCGCCCGCGGTGCACCTCTCGCGGGGCCACCCGGGCCTGAGCGGTTCTAGGGGGGCACATGCGAACCCTACCCCTACCCCCCACGATTTCTGAGGGGGGGGGGTTCAGTTCGTTCGGCAGCTCCCGAGCGAAGCGAACCCCACCCTCCCCCTCAGAAATCATGGGGGGTAGGGGTAGGGTTCGCATGTGCCCCCCTAGGTTCGCTGCGCGGCCGAGGCAGAGAGGATTGGACCTCGACCCACGGCGGTCTTGGTCGATCGGATGTCCGTGACCTGCAGGCCGATCCGTTGCCTCCGTTCGTGCGGGGGGGGGGGGGGGCACCTGTCTTCCAGGCCCCCGGGTCGGGCTTGCGTGGTTCGACACGCGGCCGAGGCAGCAGAGGATGGCCACAACGACGGCAGTGAGAGCTCCAAGACACGTATGTGTTCCCACAGCTGGCACATCGGGTGTTGTACATGTTCTTGCCATGGTTGGCCACTGGCCAGGGCTGATTCAAGAGTATCCTCAACGGAATACCCACAGCCGCCTGGGCGGCTCTGCGCAGGGATTGTAGTATGTAAGCTGTCACAGCTTGAAGCTCTTGGGCCAGCCCTTGGCTGCGTCGAAGCTGAACGCGCCAGAGCTACCTCAAACGGCTATGGCTTGTCTCGTTGTATTATCCGCCTCCTCTTCTGTTCTTCCACATCCTGCTTTTCCTGCTTCTCCTGTCTCCGCCTCAGCCTGCTCCTTCACCCCTGCATATCCTTCTCCATCCACCCCCTCCGCTCCCCTGGTTTCGGTCCTCTCCCTCCACCAGCTCTTTCTCCCTCCTCCCTCCTCGCTGCTCCAGCCCACCCCCTCCCTTCCTCTATACATGTTCTCCTCCTCCGCCTCCAACCTCCTCCTGCTCGTCCTCGTGCTCCTCCCGAGCAGGAGGGGAAGAGGACGAGGGTGAGAAGCTACCTAGTCTGAGATGTCCCCCGTTGCGACTGCACTGTGCCCCCCCCCTTCCCGCCCGATTTAACAGGGGATGTGTCGACCCCTATCCCAGGCTTCGTGGGGTTCTCGAGTGGACCAAAAATTTGGGGGCCAACCCTGGGATACACGATGGGGGGGTGTCCATCCTCGAAAGGGGTGCGTCCGAATAGACCCCTTGGGGTGTATCCCAGGGTTTTCAAATTTTTCTGAGCGGCCATATTTGTCGGGCGAAGCTCGGGGATTGGGGGAGAAACGTCGCCCGCGACGATTGGCAGCCCCGAGCCTCCAGCCCGAGGGCCTCCTGGTCTGCCCGGTAGAACCGGACGTCCTTCCGGGCCTGGGCGGCGGAGAATGGGGGCAGGGAGAATGCCGGCGGGGCGAGCTGCAGACAGGAGAGGACGGGGAGGAAGAGAGCATGGGGCAACTCTCTTTGCGCTGCGCGCTCCCCCAAGCGCGAGAGTTCATGCCTATGCAGCGCTGCTTATTCGAGGGAGCGGGAGAGGATTGGAGAAGGGGGGAGAAGGAGGAGGAGGAGGAGGAGGAGGAGGAGGAGGAGAAGGAGGAGGAGGAGAGGAGGAGGAGGAGGAGGAGGAGGAGGAGGAGGAGGAGGAGGAGGAGGAGGAGGAGAGGACGGCGGAGGTGGAGAGGGAGCGATGGAACACAGACAAGGTGATGGAAGAGGAGGGAGGAGTGAGAGGGAGAAGGTGGAGAAGGAGGACGAGGAGGAATAGGGAGAAGGATGAGGATGAAGAGGAGGAGGAGGAACAGGAGGGAGGAGGAGGAGGAGGGAAGAGCGGAAGGGGAAGGGATGAGGACCAGAGTAACCCCAAGATGCATCAGCGATGCTATCATACACGCTCCCTTGCCAGCAGCCCCCTCACACGTCCGTGCAAGATTGCCTTTTCGGTACAAGAAACGCCCTCCCTTGAAAGACCAGCACCATGGGCCTGCCATTTGGGCGAGAGCCCCCTCTGCAAAAGAGCGTGATCAGGAGCACGGAAAGGGAGCCACTTCGAAAGGGAGCCGCCCTCGATCCGCGCGGTGTTACTCAGCGCGTGAAGATTCCGAATCATGTGCAACCAACCAGGAGTGACCACAAGCACCGACCTTAGAGCAAGAAACTGCATCACCCTTCTAACGACTGCAAGCTTCTGCAACGCATGTGAGCGGCGCAAGTGTGCGAGCCACCCATACTTGTGTTTTTCGCCGGCCGTCGCGCTCGCGTCTGCCGCAGTCGGGCAGCCTCAGAAGGCTCATGTCTCTGTCACTGCTTGCTCCTCGTCCCTCCCACTCTCCGCCCCCGCTCCCTCCCTCCAGGGCAACGAACACTGACATACACATGAAAACTTGGATTTGGACGCCTGAAATGGGTACGGGGAATTGGGTGAAATGCCCAACAGCAAATGTTGCCTTAAATTAACAGCGGCCGTTGCTGGGCAGGCCGCCTCCTGTCTCGAATTGACAGCAGGCCGCGGCGGAGTGTGGGCGGCGAGCCCTGTTCGAAACGAACAAGAGCTGTTGTTGGGCATTGTACCCATCCTCTCCGCACCCATTCCGTTCGTGCCGCTCGGAGACCCGCGCAACTCTCGGGGATCGGCGCTGCCCGCCCCTCTCGGGCGCTCGGGGCGCGCCGGGGACGGCGCCGGAGGCGCCGCCATGAGGGGGCCCCACGCGCCGATCCGAGAAACCCACGCGGACCTCAGCATTTGCGGGTTCGTGTCCTCCTCCTCCTCCTCCTCCTCCTCCTCCTCCTCCTCCTCCTCCTCCTCCTCCTCCTCCTCCTCCTCCTCCTGATCATCATCATCATCATCATCATCATCATCATCATCATCATCATCATCATCATCATCATCATCATCATCATCATCATCATCATCATCATCATCATCCTCCTCCTCCTCCTGCTCCTGCTCCTGCTCCTCCTCCTCCCGACCCTCTCGGGGATTTACTGACCCAGGTCAATCCAAACCCCAGCATTTTCGGGCTCATATCGTTGTTCCCCGACCCTCTCGGGGACGTGCTCGTGCCGGTCTGAGCTTCCCTGGGCCCCTTTTCCGTCGTTTCACCCCCTCGACTTCGGCCCTTGGGGTCCGTTTTCTGGCCCCAGGACCGTCCAGCTTCTGACCAGGACGGAGAACCACGCGGGGAAGCAGTCGGGGCCTCGGGGATTTGCTGACCCGGGCCAGTCCAAACCCGGGCCAGTCAGGCTCTGCAGGATCCCGCCAGATCCTGCAGCAGGATCCCGCGCCCCAGCCAGGGTCCATGCAGCCCTGGCCCTGCCGGATTCTGCAAGATCCGGCGCTCTGTCTGTCTGTCTGTCTGTCTCTCTGTCTGTCTGGTGAGGGTTTCTTACTCGGCGTTCCTGTCTTATGTTGCTCCCCTCGTACTTAAGAGCCCCATCCCAGAAATAATTTCGATCACACGGAAAAGTGTCGAAAGAGTGTCGAAACAGTGTTGAAACAGTGTCGGATGAGTGTCTCCCAGGGCCCGACACGTGAAAACCCTCGAGTTTCGGTACTCCGCTGGTGCTCGAAATTCTTTCTGGTGGTCAAGGCTAAAGTAGGTTGGAACATCGTAGCACCTGTCTGTCTGTCTGTCTGCCTGCCTGTCTGTCTGCATTGACCCCCGTCTCAAGGCTCCCGACCCTCCTCCCCAAGGCCAGCCCGCCCCCCCGCGAGCGGGCCCACGGGGCAGCCTCCCCCCCGAAGAAAAGAAATTTTAAAAAAGCGCCCGCGGCCGGCCGGGGGCCCCCGCCGATAGCCGTGCCGTCACGGGGGCGACCGGGGCGCTGGGTGAGCGCACGTCCGCGCCCCTGCCGCAGCACTGGACGAGCGCGTTCCACTA